TGAATTTTATCTAAATGAAAACGCGCGATCTGTCACTGGCAGTTCAAATGGCACTCGCTGACAGTTCAACTACACCGCCAGGATGCGTACTTATCTCTACAGCTCTCACCAGCGTTCCGTCTGTTGGTACGTATCTTCTCCTCATCAACGAAGTCTGGTTGGTGCTGCCTTGTGGTTGATAAGATATGGCACATATACTGTCCAGAAAATAAAATGGCACACAACCTCGTCAATATCCCGAAAGAAAACCCAAGTTCACCCTAAATTCCCCGGAAATACACAGCTTGAAGCACTTGTCCACAAAATACGCACAACCACAACAGAGTGTTAATTGTCTGACAGAACTGAGAAATGTGGCCGCAGAAAAGTGCACAACTCCTGCGGGAGACCCAAAGAATACCTGGCCCATGTTACGTTTGAAAGAAACACAGCTTCCAACTCACCTATATGCATCGTAGGGCCATGGTCTGCTTGACTCAAATACATCCCGAGAGGGTGTGGCCTCCCAGACCAGAGGGACTACTGTGATTATGAGTTCACAGTAGCATATGGACCAAATCGAGACCAAAATCAAACCATGATCAACCCGAGCAAAAGCTCTACTCACGCGATGACCTAAGGCTCTGGCTTGATCAATTTGTGGTTTTGGATCCGCAATCCGGCTTTTGAACTGGCTCTTTTGTTTCCCACTAGCAGGAACCCGTGCTCCGCACGGTCAGAAAATTCAAGCTGAAGATCCCATCGTCGAATCCGACGGATCGATTGATGTTGTCGGTTTATGAAGGACACTCGACACCAACCTCCGGTTGGTTCCTCGTGTCCCCGTAGTCGAGGATTCCTGAAATAATCATCAACTTGGAGGAAAACGGGGTCCATTGTCTTCTTTTCGGCGATCGGTTCAGAAAATGCTGAGGGACTCGACTCGATTCATTCCGAAGCAACTGCGGTTTCAATGGCCAATCAATTCGTCATGTACCCGTTCTCAGATCTGCCGTTTGAATTATCGACTCAAAAAATTCATAAAATCTGTCCCTTTTCTCTGTTCTCCACTCTTCGTTGCTGCTGTACTCAGTTTACATATTGTCGAGTCACTGAAGTGGTATGCAGAATCCCTTTCCTCAGTTTCAAAGGACACTCGTCACCAACCTTCGGTTGGTTCCTCGTGTCCCCATACTCAGCGAAGCAGATCAGGTATGAAAGGCCGGAGTCGCTTCACTGAATCTCAACTGACCGTGGTACATGTATCAGAGAAGACGGCAAGCTCCTCCCGTCCCTCTCATTCAGTTCAACCTTTCATATTGGGCCAGACACGTGGTCATGTCACTCAATTCAGGAGTTCTTGCCCAGGAGAGGTTTGTTATCATCCGCTGGTTGGCGTCCCCACGCTCAATGGCCAGATTCAGATGAAGAAACCCGGCTGACTCAAATCCTTGTTTAGCTAGAATGGATATATGTTATAGTGCCGCTGCATCCGATGCCATGAACTCTCCCTTCGAAATCTGGAGTAATTGTCCTCCAAGTCCAAGTCTAGAATCCTCCCGAGAGCCTCGGTTGAGTCTGGATTTACCCGTCCTCAGTGTGCCCTCGGATGTCGACAGTTACACGTACCACAGTCAGGATTGATTTCAAGTCGCCGCTGAGCATCCTCTAGTCGTCTACGCAGTTTCTGAGCCTTGGACCGAACCTTCGGATCATATTCGTATTGTGGTGTCGTGGACTGTAGGTCCCGTTCAATCGCAGCAGCCAGTTCTCGCTGCCGGCGGGCTCGTTGCGCAGCAGACCGACGTAGTTTTGAGGATTCGGATGCCTTGCATTCAAATCAGCTTGCATTGCATTGTACTTACCGTTCAGATCCACCATACCGCAGGCTTGGTATTTTCTCGGGCTTCCCGTTCTCGGCGTCGTTGCTGGGCTGATGAACGTCGATGGTGCTCGGAAGACTTAGCAGCTGTTGCCCTGAAGATCATTTGAGTGAACCACGGTGTAACACCAGGCCAAAGCAGTACTCCGAGTCCATGCATTTCGACGGCACATTGCAGCCCGGGACAGATGTCGATGTCGATGTCGATGTCGGCTGTGTGTTCTGAGCCAAGAGCTTGCCAAGAGATGTCAGGCCCACCTTCAGAAGAAAGGGCTCTGGCTGAGCGAGAGATGTCGGCTTGGGAAGCAGTTGGCGCAGCAGAACAGGCTGCGCCATGACGGAGGACGCGAAGAGAAATACGCGGTCAGGCGGAAAGCTGATTGATGTCGTGTGAACGTTTGATGTCCGATCAGCAGCTGACCTGTCCAGCAGCCAATCAGGTTATCGGAATGTCTTTGTCTTGTCTTGTCAGCAGGGGACATGTTCTTTGTCTTTTGTATAATAGATGCGGGCAGACACACGAATACAAGGCTTACGAGTCAACCGATTTAGGACTCAAACATCCATCGATATTTGATCTCATCATCACGTGCTGTGTCGCGTCGAATTTTTCGCCCTTGTTTGGTTGCAACACAGGTTGTGGACGTGGTATTCTCACTCAAAAGGGTGTCTGATGGTTTCAGAAGACTTACCTGGGACTCAAAAGGCCTTTTCCTTCTTGCGAGGTACGAGCACAGATTTGTTGTAGCATCTGTTGAGAAGAGACTATTTTCCTTCCATCATAAGTCATATCTGAGCTGATCGATGGGGGAAGCAAAAGGATGCCAAGTCACGAGGAGAAAAAAAAAGATGGTGTCATTCGATGATTTGAATTCAAAGTCCGACCATTTGGTAGCCATTTCTAAGTCGCCCAAGCCCAAGTTGTGTCTTTTTTCTGGCTTGTTTCAACGATGTGTCGCGCATTTGCGGTGTGCATCAATTTGCAGATATGAACGACTGGTGGGTTTTTTTTTCCGACGCATGATCTGAGTTGTGGGTTTTCCAACAAGGTGCGTGTTTTTTCCAGACATGCAACCACGAATTATTGGACAGTATATGCCCCATAATAAGTAAGGGAAGTTTCAACGATAGCACGATTCGACCTGCGGCGCTCTGGGATACGCAACTATATGGCGGTCACTTGGCACCTTTAATAAAACACACATATTTTTTGCCTTTTTGCGGGAAATATGGGCTGTTCGGGCCGTTTCGAGAAATTTTTCGAGGTTCCAAACTTTCGTGTTTTTTTTTTTCCCTCAGAAATCCTATTTCATGTTTTTTTTTTTTGTTGAAGTTCAGAATCAAGTTTTTTCGGCGTCATCAGGCCGGACGGCTGTGCATGCCGAGATGATGGCTCACTACCTCTGTTGTATCCATTCCCTCTAACCCTCTCGCCCATTGGACCTCACTGACTCGCTCAGGCCTACCAGATACTACGAACTTGGTTAGCTGCTCTTTGTGTGAGGCAGCTGTCAGCCTCAATCTGACTTGGTTGTTGGTTGAAGTCTGGCTGAAGTCCCTCTAGCTGAGAGAGAGGTTCAGAGCACAGTCCCATACTGAATGATGGAGGCTGTGAAGCCAGCAGCAGTATTGACTCACTGGCTAGCCTCATTCAGGTCCTGCAGGCTGCCATCATTGTGGACAGTAAGGCCGAAGTGATGGCCCACCACGCCGGCGTGGCTAGCCGTAGCCTGACATCGCCGAAGGATGAACTTGAACTAAAAAAAAAAAAACACGAAACACGATTTCCGAAAAAAAAAAAAATCACGAAAGCTCGGAACCTCGAAAAAATTCTCGAAACGGCCCAAACAGCCATATTTCCCGTGAAAAGGCACAAAATATGTGTGTTTTATTATTGCTATTTTCAAATATAATGACACACCTCGAAAAAAAAAAAAAGTTTGAGAGCGAGAGGTCTTGCGTTCGAGCCGAGATGCCGACCTCTTTTTCCATTTTACACAAGACCAAACAAAGGTTCAATTTCGTCGTTTCGGCGCATTTCGTCGTCTTTTGACTAATTTCAACCTGTGTACTCATACAAGATTGTCTTCAATGCTACTGCCCATATTACAGATTATTCTGGGCTCTACAAAGCTCCTGTTTCACACAAACAGAAATGATTTTTCAAACAGCCTGATAAAATCTCTAGCTATCTGCTAGGTCTTGAGATTGACCTTTTGGATGCGCCAAGACATACAGAATACATATACGTTGACTGAATTGTAGTTCTCGAATCCTGATGTCGCATAAAGGGACGGTCATTGCACATACCTTTGATTGTTGTCGGGCTATGATCCCAAGTCACTTCCACTGGATAAACACAAGATTTCAAGTGCAAAGGAGGCAGAAAATATAGTCGGATAACTTATGGCTGATTCCTCACCTTTCCATTGCCAAAACAACCGGTTCCTGCTCAACTAGGGCGAGTCTCAAGTCAACACCAGGTATTTATGGAATACACGAGACAAGGTAGATGAATTGCGGCAAACAATGGCCCTCATACGTGTAAATCGACCTCTGAAAGGGTTCTAGGTATAAATTGTGTCGCAAGTGCCGTGAAATGCGCCGAAACGACGAAATCGAACATTTGTTTGGTCTTGTCTAAAATGGAAAAAGACGTCGGCATCTCGGCTCGAACGCGGGACCTCTCGCTCTCAAACTTTTTTTTTTTTTCACGGTGTGTCATTATATATGAAAATAGCAATAAAGGTGCCAAGTGACCGCCATACAACTATACGCAACACGGTTTTTTTTTTTTTTTTTTTTTGCGTAATAGAGAAGCAAGAAAGCAAGCCTTGAACGACCGATGCCCCAATATAACCGGAGCCTACTTTTGAAGCAACAAATTGACGTTGATTATGGAATCACAGGCAGGTGCGCACCAGCGCCGTGAGTCTTGAAGCAGAGCGTGCGTAAGACAGCACAGGCGAGAAGACACACATAGATACCGCAGAGGGTGTGTGTTTTGGACCGAAGGTGAGATCTAAGCTTTTATTGCAGTGGTTGGGAACAGAGTTCGAACAGACAGTTTGTTGCGGCGAAGATCGATGTACGCAGAGCGTGGCGGCACCGTATCCCGAGGCAAAAAGCACCTGCCATGTCCAGTATGGTGTATCGGTTAACATATGTGCTTTTCATTCACTGTACACGCGAAATTTATACGCACGTGCGCGGGGTTCGACTCCCCGTACCAGAATCTTTTTGCACTTCTTGTTCTTCACCTTCGCCGTACCAGTCTGTGTCACCCGCACGCAATACAGCGAAGGGGCGTATGTTACTTCTCCCTACGGGAGCCCATCCGACGCGATAGCTCTCCAAACCGATCCAATTTGAAACCAAACAACAAGCCTATGAGATCTATGTGTTTACTGACAAGTTCAACCAGCCATTCACGCGCCCACCGCCAAATAGTGTGCGTTCAGCCCAAATTGGGCGCGATACGACATCCCATCCTTGGTGTAGACCTCCACCAGCCGCACCTGATCGTACGACACACCGTCGATACCCATCCGCATCGCACCGTCGCGGTCCGTAAAGTCCGAATCTTTTCGGCTCTGTGGGACGTGTAAAAAAAAGCGCTAAACCAGAGCGAGAGGGGCACGTACGTTGACGAAGTCCTTAAAAATCTGGGTGACCTGTGCGCCGAGCGCCGCGCGCGTAACGTGGCGGCGGGTCTGCGGGTCGACGAGGGTCAGGATGAAGTTCTCCTGGCGGTACCCGGGCCACTGGAACGAAATTTAGTCGATAGGAAGAGCGCGAGAAAAGAAGCACGCACGTCTAGAAGCAGCGCGCCATTCGCATACCTCATCAACTGAGGTGGCATGAACTCGTCGAGACGCTCCGTTGGAGCAACCATCCCGCGACCGTACTCGAGGTTCAGCAGCGCAACGCCGAAGGTGCAGGGTCCGTTCGTAGGCCGGTACGACACGCTGTGGGGGAACTTGCCCGCCTTCCCGAGGTTGATGCACATCATGTTCGTGTTGCTGTGCCAATAGTCCGGCGGACGGTTGTCGACTTGGGTGGGCGTGCGCCCGACGTGCGGCGGGGGGAACGGCGGGGGTGGCATTTGGCCGGCGCTCTGCTGCATCTGAAAGTGCAGCTGCTGGTTCGCCGACATCTGGGCCATGTGGTAGCCTTGAGCGCTCAGTTGGGGCGTGTTGGGCATTTTGGAGGAGCGACGGGGAGGGAATTCTGGGGTAGGGCCGGTATATGGGAGCGCATGCGAGGGATAGTGCGCCGGAGGGCCGGAAATCTGAGGGGCACCCATGGCATAGGATGAGGTGGAGGCCGCATTCCACTGCATAGCAGAAATAAGCACCTTTGACTCGGTGGCAGGTAGAAATATCTCACCGTGCGTGGATCGGGTGCGAGGTAGTCTTCCACCTCGGAAGGATCGTTGAATCGGGAGGGGGCTCGGGGCATGATAGTAGGAGGAGGAGGGTGGAGGCGAGAAGGTGGGTAGAGGTGAGATACAGTATCCGTATATTTTCGGGACCTTATATACGCAAACCAAGTGGCACATTGGGCTAGGCGTTTGATGGCTCATTGTTCCGCGCTTTGGTTTGACTTTGGTGGCCGTTTGTCGCAAACGACGGGATTGTGGCCCCGACACAAGGAAGTCCCGATTTTAGATTCAGTGGCCTGCACGTAAGCGAAAGCGAAAGCTTTGTGGCAAGCCGCCCTCGAAAGCCGCCATTCGAGTTCAAGGTCTTGATCAAGTCTTGAGCAGCAACGAGACCATTGTCCGAAATAATTCCCATACGGAGCATCAGCTTGCATCTTCGAACCCGGGTACAATGGCGTAGCACTCCTGTATCACGTTAAGCCTCCAGGTTCCGCACCGCGCTTTGAACATTGCTTTAGCAGCGCGCCGCGCCGTCATCCAGCGGCAGCCATTCTCGACTCAGCCGCGCAAAGCAAGGAAATTCCAAGGGTCGTCAGTCCGGGAGTCGAGAGTCGTTATTCGAGCCAGATAACCAGTGCTTCTGCGAGCGGATTCATGGGAAAAGAGAGGAAGAAATCTGCAGTGGCTTGAGCGGGCGCAAAGCGTGGTGTGGCAGTGTCTGAGAGCACGTGACGCGTTGGCTGTGTTTATGGACGGCATCGCACTGCCGAACACCTGCTGCGCTTGACTCTCACCTCGATTTCACTGGAACGCGTCGCTGGTCCTCGGTGGCTACTGCTTGCGTATTACAGTGAAAGTTCAAGTCGCTCTGATCCTCTTGATCTTCATCCCCACCGACATCTATGACCCGAGTTTTTGTGCGCCTTCTTTTGACCTCCTGGAGTCCTTGACTCCTTTGGCAGCTTCTTGGTTTTCACTGTCTCGGAAATCAACACGGAGTGGTATTCGCTCAGTCTGTTCTTTATTTCCACTGATCCGCAGCCCTCATCTTGCTCGTCCGGCGTTTATCTTTGAACGAACGTCGATGAACATCCGTTACACTTGATTTTTTCTCGCGAGGATGTCGCTCAGCATTGCCACGATCTACGCACTGCGTCAGCTTCATACTGTACTCAAAATTCAAGCTATGAAAAGAGCTTGGGGGTTGCTAGCTCCTGACAAATACAATCTCGTCGCTTGCCTGGATGGAATCGGGATAAACCAAAAGTAAGTTATCTGGTCACCAAAATAAACAAAGTACTCAAATGAAACTGCGGCAAAAAAGGAAAGATGGGGAAAGGCACGATATCGACGTCGAGGGATGCCAAATACAGGCGAGTGCTGTTAATCGTCCCGGCAAGTGCTTGCGATATTTTGTGTGTGTTGACCTCCTCGATTTGCCTATTGTGACATGCATAGGAATATTGAAGACGAAATTGAAACGGCCAACGGCCCGCTGCCCAAAGGCAGAAAATGAAATACAACAACACAGACTTATGGCTCGACCCCGAGTCGAACGGGTGGTCCTGCGGAATACCTCCATGAGCCTGTGCAAGTGCGGTGCGACCGCTACCGAGCCTTATTCTAATCAATACGGCACGTTGTGGTGGGTAGCCTGGTCCGGCCAAGGATATTTGTCGAATTGAAGGTGCTTCGAGATTGTGCACAGTGCACCGGACTTATCCCTTTCACAGGCGCAGTGTGCAACAATTCATGGGAAGAATGAATACTACCGCTTGGCCAAAAGAGGGCCAGCACTCACGAGGACGAATCGTTTGACGCCGCTATCTATAGCGGAGGCGATGAAGGCCCTCATCGGAGGGAGCATATCGCGGATCCGTGGAGCAATGAGCTAACGCGGTCGATGGTGGCGTCCATGTCGAATGGAATGCCGTACGTCGATGCATCCAACCAGTCAAATCGCGCGCCTCTGAACGGCAGTGGGGGCTTGCCGCTGCGAGGCGCCAACAAGACGGCTTTATTCGCCTTCAGCAAGAGATTGGGGAGCGGCTTGCCGGATTGCACCGGTAAGCAGGATGTTCATGGCGAGCGATTGATTGGTGCTTTATCATGCAGCTCAGCGGACCTTTTTAACACCGACCAGCGCCTCCGGGCGGGGCGGCCTTGCAGTTCTCGCACTCCGTTTGGCTTGCACCTGCGGAATTCCGTCGCTGATCCGGCGAGTTGTACGCAACACTTCGGGTTTTTGTGTCTTTGCCCATGGATGGATGGTAGCGGGAGCTTTGAGTCCGCAGGCTCTGCGTCAGCATCAAGGTTCCAATCTTACGCACAACTCATACACTGTTTATTTATTTCAGCGGCAGGTCTCTTTCGCCGACGGGCTCAGACTTTTATGGTGAAACGCGCACCAGCCAATAGCTGGTCTCGGGCTCCCAGAGGACACCCCGTCGTCTGTCGATTAGTAGAACGGTGCCGTATGCCACTGTTTTTTTATCCTCCTGTTTTGTCATGCCGCTCTGTTCCAGAAGACAGCGCATGTCTCGACCATGCCGATTGGATTCCACCAACAGATTCTGAATGCTATCGCGTCCCGCATTCGTCGATTTGACCGCGAGAGGCGCATGGAGGAAGAACGTTGCTCAAAATGTGCATCGCTCTTGATTGGTCAAAACAGCAGGTTCAAAAATGCCGACAGAATCTATCCAGGGATACCCAATGAAGCGTGGGTCACGATAAGCGATGCCCTTCCGGGTGTCGAAGTAACAACTGCTGATTAATATTCACGAACAGCATCGACTCACACGGGACCGACGACGAAAATCGCTGATTAATCAGATGTAAAATCATCGCACATCCACTGGTGAGTACCATAAATAATCACTTCGTATCGGACCTTTTTGCCTTTTTTTGAACAGGTTCTGAAGCTCTGAAGCCCTGATATGACCACTGTTGACTCTTAACATCCCCGCGTACGGCGGCGATTCCCATCCGGCCAGTGTGGCGGGTACGCTACCGTCAAACCTGCATTCTGTTGCTGACGTGACAGGGAGAATTGGTTGGCCCCTTTTCGCCTTTTCGTCGGCATCGTTGCCCCGGATACAGATGGAGTCGCGGCTTGAACGTTGGAGCACTGTCCTAAGCACTTTGGGTCCGTCGGTCACGTCGTACGGAAGGACAAATAGGCTACTGATCGTAAGTTTTAGCCGATACAGCCGAGCGAATTTCGGCGAATTAATGCTATAAACATGCCGCACAGATTGTCTGGGCGTCTGCAAACAGATGCCGCTTCCCCATCCAATTTTTCAGGCTCTGGCTCGGAAGCATGATTGTTCGTTGAATTGCGCCTATCTCGGCTTTTGATCGAACAGCAGCTCCGGCGGGAAAACCCCAATAACAGTCAGTCTCCTGCGAGTCTAACTATGGACCCAGACAAACGTGCGACCAAATGAATGCCGCTGAATTGGCGTCATTATTCTCACCGCACTGTACAAGTATGCAAGTATGCGCCGAGTCCCGCTGCAGGAGAAACCTCGTAGGCCAATCGTAAGCGTAATGATCCCGAAATACTGAGTACGTGAATTTTTCCCGTTATCCGTGTTACGACAAGCATTGACGCTCCATATCAAATGCCTTTTGGGCCAGAATGGCGATATATCGTCATTTCTCACGCCAAAACTTATAATATTCAAGCACTCACCGACCGACTTCGATGTGTCACTTCTCGCGTCGGATGCTTTATCCATGGAATCCCCGAAGATGCTGCATGTCTTCTATACTCCTGGGTCCGCCCTTATAAATCATGCGAGGGCACACTCCCGCTCAGTCTCTTCGCCCAGTATGCATAACTCTTC